GCATGCTTTGGGAACTTAAAAGACGTCCCTAGCTGTTGCTCCTATGGTATGGTCTGGAAGGGAGGTGCGACTGTGCCACTGCACCCTCTCTGGATCTGCCACTGTGGTAGACCACACTATGGATTTTCCATCATAAATAATTAATTTCATTAGCTTCCATACTGTAGTCACGTTGGGGTCAGGGCTGAATTAATCCATAGGCAAACTAGGCACATGCCTAAGGCCCTGAGTTGTGGGGGGCCTCAGTCCTTCCCTCTGCGGCGGAGCCAAGAAGGGCTCCATCCACCTCCCTTCCCCTCCTCTCTGTCCACTTCGCTGCTGCAGTGGCTGCTTCCTAGCAGCAGCTCCAAGCCCTGCTCCCTGTGCCAGGGTGGGGAGTGGGGTCTCAACCAAATGTGTAGTTGGGATTTCCAGACAAAGCACTGCTTGGGCTTTGGAGCATAAGGACTCTGCCTGTTGTACTACTGCTGTTCAATAAGAGTTGTAGTAGTTTAAGAAGAGCTGCTTGCTCTGCTGTATTCTGTCCCCTCAAAGAGGTAAAGTCCCTCCGCAGAAGCCCAGCCAGAAGGTAGCTCTCTGAAGGGGGCCACAAATAACTAGGAAGGTAAGGAACCAAAATGCTGGGTCTCAGAGTCCGAGGAGCCAGGGGCTCCAGAAGCTGTGCCTAGGCTGGATTCAGGGGCTATTCCAAGAGACCATGTAAGGCTTGGAATCACAAGCAAGTGCTCCCCTAGGCATTCTGTGACAAATCTCTTATCCTTACAACATCCCTGAAATAGGAAAGTGCCATTTTACAGACGGGAAACAGAAGATCTTCACTTGCCCATGGTCACACAGGATGTCTGAGGTAGAAGAGGAACTGAGACTGTTTCTCTCATAGTCCAAACTAGTGGTCTAATTGTCAGACCATCCTTCCTCCCTTAGTTGACAACGTTTTTGGATCGGCTCAGACATTTTTGTCTTGCATCAAAAGATCTTAAATCTTATTATCATCAGATTGGAAATTTCATATTTAAGAAAGAAGGCCTGATAACGAAGATAAAATAATCCTCTGTATTGATCGAAGACTCCTGTCTGACATTAAAAATTAAAAGAAAAAAACCATTTTCAGTAATGGAAAAGCTAAACTTGCTAAGAATGGGCAGGTACTCCAAAGGTGCTGAGGCTGGCAGTCATGTTAGCTCAAAAAGCAGCTGCTATCATCTATAGAGAGATTTAACAGAAGTATGAATATAGAAAATTGCATGTATTGGCATTGCACCCAAAAAAAAATCCCATAGCAAAATGACCCTGTATGTAACAAAAAACTATGTACACTTGACTAGTCAGTGTAAGCATAACATCCTTAAACCTTCTAACCTTGGTTTAAAAATAAGTTAGAAACATTTTATTTAACTATAATAAAACAAATAAAAATAAAGATCCTGAGTTGGAAACCAGCTGTTGATCAATATTCTAAAATAAGAGACCTCTAACCTAGGGACTAATTTCATATTCAGTAAATCAGTTGTCATGGACTGTCAAAGGCAAGTTGTGTGAAGGAGGCTACCGCAGATTTATTTGTACAGAATATGATCTACTAATTGATTAACAGAACAGCAACAAACAACTATGAAAATAATAAATAAAAAGTATGGCTCCATCTATGAAAAAAAATAAATACCCAAAGCCTAATATTCCTGTGAAAACAGCATTTGCAACCTGGTGACCCAGCCAGGAAAGCATTTAAAAATTCACATAACTCCTATGTAATATCCCGATTCCCCAAGGCTGAAATTCCAAACTAGGATAACCCTGAATGAGGTGCCTTCTGTCTAGGGCAAGTGAACTTTCCTCTTTGAAACACCATAAGGCATCTATCATGTTATTTGAAAGGCCTGGAGTAACCGAAGGAAATTGACACCTATACCCCGAGTGCCTTTCTTCATTACCAGAAATTTACTGTCCTTTAATTTTTACCATTTTTAGTTATAAAAAGAAAAAGATTACTTACCTGCAACATGCATTACTTGCATGTCATAGAAATAGAAGAGAATTGTCAAGTGAGAGAGAGCAGCCAATATTATATTGAACAGACTAAACCATGAATGATCTCCTGTGGGTACTACTGGTAGAAACAGACATCACCTTTCATTACCTTTGTGCTGTCATAAAAATATTTATAAAAGTGACAAAATGACAGCAAATAGACTTACATCCATACCTTTTGTTATGGCCATATTGTATCTGTGAGAAAGGTAGTAATAAATTATGCTGCAAGTCTATTTGCTTTCTGATGGGAGAGCACAGGCAGCTGGAGCTGCCCGCACTTTCCTATCACCCAGGACAGGGACTCACAGGGTTTGAGCAGCCCGATCCTGCACACTTCAGGAATTCTTGCACTGGATTAGCCCTTCAAGTCTCAAGAGTGCCTGCCTGGCTTTCCCCGCTTGCAGACACAACCGATATGCTTCATTTGACAATGCCTATTTCTAGCCTATCATAGAATCAATGAGTCGGAAGGGACCTAGACAGATCATCAAGACCGACCCCCCGCCATGGGCAGGAAGGAGCACTGGGGGCGGCAGGGGTCATAAGACCCCAGCCAGGTGCCTGTCCAGTCTCCTCTTGAAGATCTCCAGGGAAGGTGAGAGCACCACCTCTCTGGGAAGCCTATTCCAGGCTCTGGCCACCCTTACAGTGAAGTAGTTCTTCCTAATATCTAGCCTAAACCTATCTTCCCTCAGCTATGACTCTCTCCCTGAATTTGTAGTGTTTTAGAAACTATATTGGGTATAGAAACAAAGTACCCCAAGAAAAACACCTTCATAAAAGAGCCTGTGTTTTGGAGAACTGTCACTTTAAATCACTAGGTAATTGAACTATCAGCTATTGTTGGAGGTAAGCTGTCATTCTAGACATACTAGGGCTCAAAACATGGGGAAAAGTAGAGCTATGGGCTTTTCCTTTTAAATTAATCCAAGAATTATAAAATAGAGAAGAGAAGTTTCCTTTACTAAATTTTCATACCCTGTTAATACCATATATTTCAAATACACTTTGCCCATATCAGCGTACTTTCTTGAAAACAAAAAACACTTTCCATGGAAATAAAAGAATACAGATGAAATCATTAGATGTTTGAAAATAAAGAGGAATTTTATCAGAGATGCAGATTTCCTTCTGTGCCTGAAATGCAGTCTACTTACTGCTTTGAACATGCAGCATTAAAAAGCAGTGGTGCAATGTCAGATGGACCATATTATTTTTCCTCTACTTTGGGCACATCTATATGAGACTGCAGATCCGACTAATTAGCTCTGCTATAAAACATCACCATCTACACATAATGCTGCCATAGCGTAATCTGACTAAACACAAATACTACCCTGTGGTGGCAGCATTTTGTGCACCACAGTACATGTGTAGATGGTGATGGGGCTGGCTGGAGCCGAGGAGGCTTCAGTGCTGGGCTAGCCAGCAGGCAGCCCTTGCGCTGCAGCACCCTCATGCCCCAGCCAGCTCCTAGGCAGCACATTCAGCCCAGTCGAAGCAGACCAAGCTGGCAGGGGACCCAGAGGTCAGCCTGTTAACCCAGGGCTGCTCTGACTGGGCTCCACATGCTGCAGAGTGGCTGGCTGAGGCATGAGCAGCCCCCTTGTGCTTCAGCCAGCCCCCTGCCCGCCCCCCACTCCACTGCAGCACACGAAGCCCAGTTGGAACAGTCCTGGGCTGGCAGGGGACCCAAGGGGTCAGCCTGCCAGCCCAGGCTGCTTCAGGCAGGTTCCATGTACAGTGAGGGGCTGGCTGAGGCACAAGGGTGCTTCAGCACAGGGCTAGCTGACAGACCCATGCTGAAGCACCCTCAGGCCTCAGCCAATCCCACTGCTGCACACTGAGCCTGGTCAAAGCAACCCAGGCTGGCAAGCCAACACCATGGGTCCCCTGCCAGCCCAGGACTACTCTGAGTGGGCTCTTTGTGCTGCTGGGGGGGCTAGCTGAGGCACAAGGGTGCTTCAGTATGGGGGCTGGCTTCCAGCCAGCCCCTCTGCAGCACATGGAGCCAAGTCAGAGCAGCCCTGGGCTGGCAGACTCACCCCTGCCACTCCAGGATGCTCCAACTGGGCTCCATGTGCTGTGCATGAAAAAATTCCAGAGCAATATGCTCCAGAGTTTTTTGCTCCCAGCCGCACATTCAAACAACACTCCCAGGAGCAAAAAAACTCTAGAGAACACTTGCCCAGGATCAGACACACACAGTTTGCCTATTTTATCAGGTTTAAAGTTTTTGCCTTCCTTTTTAAGGCTCTGCATAGCCCTACTCCACCTCCAGGTTGGATTTCTTTTTCGGAGACCCATTTGTTCTTCCATTGATGCTATCTTCACTTCCCTGTTCATATCTCAATCTCACATTCATGCTTTCTATCCTTCCCCTTAAAAATGGAATGGTTTCCAATGGCAGTGCCACAGGTAGATCTCCTTCAAAATACTGCTAAGACTACTTCAGTGAGGCACAAATGCTAACTTACATCAGTCAAATGTCCATTCAACCTCAGGCTTATGAAACAGCAAGAATTTCAACAATGAACGGGAACAGTTAATGTTTTCAACACCAACCCTCTCGTCTCCCAATCTGCCTTCTCCTATGTGTATATGTCTTTTGGGAATATATGTTTCTCGTGGCAGGAGTACATTTTGTGACTTCCCCATAGTTAAAGTCTAGGTTTGATGCAGTAGGCAAAAGGGAGGCAGTAAAGGTATTCAAAGAAAAGAAAGAGAATGACAGAATTCACCTGGTATTGTATCATTACCTAAAACTACACATGAAAAACCTCAAGCAATGACAGTCTGGGCATTAAGACAGACACAAAAGAGCTCTGATCTTAGCTGGCTTCCCTAGCACCTCCTACTTTTATATAATTAATTTAATAGATGTTTACAACTACCAAATTTTCCATTAGAAATGGTTGGAAAACCAATGTTTTCAATAACTTTCTTCCCTCTCTCTTTCTTACGGCCAGATGTTTGGCAGCACAGAGAGGAGGGATGGAATTTTCATCAGGAGTATGACCCAGAACTAGTCAAAGAAGAAAAGCGGAAAGAAGTGAAGGAAGAAATCAGAGTGCAGGTGTGCTTGCAAAAGTAGTTCTAAAAAGTAGTCTTTTTAGAATCAAGGCATCCCCCCCAGAAAATGCCAGCTCTTAACTTTCACTCATTTCTTGACTCTCAAAAAACAACAGAGCAATTCTTTTGCTGCAAAGAACACAGAACGACCACAACAGGTTAAAATGTTTTGACACTATGGATTCCCGTTTGAAATCTAGTTTTATCTTGTGAATCATGTGTAGATGTTTGCATACCTAACAGTGCTAATATTGTGGCTGTGACACCCTGGTTGAAAAATCACCGGCTTACAATAACAAGACAATTGTATTAACAGTTCTTTGAATAAGAGTTTCTCTCCAGTTGCAAGAGGTGACCCTGACATCTAAACCTTGCCTTCTCTAGAATTCCATTTTCCATTCTTTTCTTTACATGCTTGTTTGGATGAACATTTGTCTGAGTAGTGGAAAAAGATTCAGTTGTCTGGAGACTTAGAAAAAGATTCACTTAATCTGTCTTTCTTGATAGGTTGATGAGCTCATGAGACAGGAACTGAAGAATTTAAAACTGGCAGTAGACAGAGAGAAGGACAAGAAGAAAAAAAGTGGAAAGAAGGTGAGTGTAGAAAGCTGTAACTCTGTTGCCAGTGTAACTCTGAATATTGAAAGTGATATCCTTGTTCCATTGAAGTCAATGGCAAAACCCCCAACCTAAGTGGTTGGAGAACCTTAAGTCACATGCAAGTTCTCTTTAAGCCATTTTCTTTATAGTATTTTAACTTGTAGTACTAACTGACTTATATTTTAAATATTGTTCAGGACAAGACAAGTCATTTTGAAGGAAGAATGCTAACACTGATCTCACTTTCTAGTGACGGGCACCCACAGTTCCAACTAAAGTCATGAGCAGTTGGTGCTCAGCACTTTGTCATATGGAAAGGGCAATTCTAAATGTAACAGCAGGGGTCCCCAAGCACCCAAAGAGATAGATGCCCCTCCTCCCCCCGTTTTAGGGCAGTCTGCCCTGCCCTCTCCTGCCATGCCTTTGATGTTAAATGAATAGATATGATGCAGGAGGCTGCCCCATTTGCAGCCCTGGTGTCTTAAGCCAAACATACTGCTCCAAACCAGCCCTACACCATGTCCCATGCCTCACATATGGCATCCTATTCAACATACTACTCCCCCAGCCCTACGCTAAGCTGCACTTTGCCTCTGGCCCACTTAGGCCTTAGGCACCACTCAGTGGGCCTTGGCCCCTCACTGGACCACCTTGATCCCTCACTGGGCCACACTTCATTCTGTAGGCTTCAGAACCTGCACTGGGCCTTAGCCCCTCACTGGGCACCTCACCCCTCAGGCCTCAGGTCCCTCCCAGTGGACCTTGGCCCTCTACAGGTGACTCAAGGCAGTGGGGGCTGAGGCTTTCCAGCGCCCCATCCTCGCCTTTCACTGAGGCGGCACAGGTGTGTCATTTCCTGGGGGCAGCCCCACCACACCATCCAACCCCAGCAAGGTGTAGTTTCATGAAATCATTATGTTCACAGTCTGTCGCAAGGCTGACAAAACAGATACCAAGCTCGAAGTCTTGGACTTCAAAAATGCAAAGTTTAATAAGTTCAGGTCACTAGTAGAGAATGCCCCGAGAAACCAAGGACCACAGGTAAAGGGAGCACGAGAAGAATGGTCGTTCCTTAAGGATGCAATCCTTAAGGCTCAGAGAAAATCCATTCCCTTATGGAGAAAAAGTAGCAGAAGGGTAAAAAAAAAACCCTCTTGGCTAAGCAGGGAAGTTGCAGCCCTCCTACAGAAAAAGAAAGGGGCATACAAACAATGGAAGTTTGTGACAGCCTCTAAGGAAGACTACTTGGCAATGGCCCACACTTGTAGAAAACAGATTAGGCCAGCTAGGGCAGAAACCAAACTAAAACTAGCTACAAGAATCAAGGACAACAAGAAGTCCTTCTTTAGCTACATAGGGAGTAAAAGGAAAACTAATGGGAGTGTGGGGCCACTGCTCAATACCTCAGGATCCCTGGTCACTACCACTCAAGAAAAAACAGAACTCCTAAATGACTACTTTGCCTTGGTTTTTCACAAGACCAAGGGGAACAACATGCCAGGTAGGGCACAGAACAAGCAGGGTGGGATTGACACTGTTCCCACCATTGCCATAGAACTGGTGTACAATCAATTAAAGAAATTAGACATGTATAAATCAACAGGACTGGATGAACTCCACCCAAGAGTGCTGCAAGGAGTTGGCCGAAGTAACGCAGAGCCCCTGGCAAAGATCTTTAAAAAATCATGGGCCTCTAGAGAAATCCCAGAGGACTGAAAGAGGGCCAATATTGTGCCCATCTTCAAGAAGGGGAAGCATGAAGACCCAGGAAACTACAAGCCAATTAGCTTAACTTCTATTCCAGGGAAAACCCTAGAAACATTCATCAAAGAGGAGATGTGACAAATTTGCAGAAGGAATGATACTGAATGACAGCCAGTATGGCTTCATCGTGGGCAGGTCTTGTCTGACCAACCTTATATTTCTTTCTATGATCAGGTGATTTGTCACCTGGATGAGAGAAAAGCGGTTGACATCATATATCTCAACTTCCAGAAAGCCTTTGACCTGGTATCCCATGAGGTACTGATCAGAACACTGGAAGATATTGGGCTCAACTGCGGGACCGTCAAGTGGGTGCGAAACTGGTTGCGGCATAGGACACAGAGTCCAAATGAATGGATCCGTGTCGTCCTGGTGAGATATGGGCAGTGGCATACCCCAGGGGTCAGTACTTGGCTCAGTGCTGTTCAATATCTTCATCAATGACCTGGATGAGGGGGTGAAAAGCCCATTGGCCAAGTTCGCAGATGACACCAAGATATGGGGTTGTGCAGACACACCTGCAGATAGGCTGCAGATACAAGCAGACCTAGACAAGCTGCCATGTTGGGGAGAACGGAACCAGATGAGGTCCAACATAGAGAAATGTAAAGTGCTGCATCTAGGAAGGAAGAACCCCCAGCACACCTACAGGCTGGACATCGCTAACCTGACCAGTACTACAGATGAAAGGGATATGGGGGTAACAATAGACCCCAGCATGAATGAGATGGCAATGCGACACAGTAGCCACTAGGGCTAATAAAACTCTGGCATGCATCAATTGATGCATCTCCAGTAAATCTAAAGAAGTGATCCTCCCACTTTACTCAACATTGGTGGGGCTGCAGCTGGAGTATTGCATCCAGTTCTGGGCACCGCACTTCAACAAGGATGTGCTAAAGCTTGACAAGGTCCAGAGAAGGGCCACCCATATGATCAGAGACTTGGCAAGCCATGTGAGGAGAGGCTGAGGGATCTTGGACTCTTCAACCTAAAGAAAAGAAGGCTGAGAGGGGACCCGATTGCAGCTTACTGCTATATCAGAGGCATACATCAAGGGCTCGGTGAACAACTGTTCATCAGGGCACCCTGGGGGAAAGCTAGAAACAATGGCCACAAACTCCTGGAAGATAGTTTCAGGCTGAACATTAGAAAAAACTTCTTTACAACTAGGGTGTCCAGACTATGGAACAAGCTCCCCCAGAGATAGTGCAATCATCTACCCTAGAGGTCTTCAAGAGAAGACTGGATGGTCACCTGGCTAGGGTCATCTGACCCCAGATGTCTTTCCAATGATCCTTCGGGGTCCCTTCCAGCCCTATGATTCTGTGATTCTATGATTCTTACTCAGGACCACAAAGAACCTCTTCCATCCCCATAGTTCCTAACCGCCAGGTGATCCCGGAGCTGCAGTCTTCAGGCTGTACAACGTTACTTGCCCAGCTCCCCAAATGCAAGTGCCACCTCTGCTCCCAGAATCTGGGCTTATACTCTCCCTGCCCAGCCCCCCTCCAATCAGGTGGCCCCTTGCAATCAGGTGACTACCTAATTGGGTCTGAACCTACCTGCCGGCTGCCCCACAGCCTGTCTGATGGTTTTAAAGTAGCAAGCACAACCAGTGCACTGACACACTGAACATAACTAATATCTAACTGGCAGTACCATAGATTTAAGTATTTGAACACAAGAAGGATTACAAGAGTGAGACTACCACCCTAGACTAGAACTGGCCATTTGCCCTTAGCATTCAGATATAAGATTGCATGGTAGAATATATATGCTTTTGGTGAGTAATACACCAACATTATTTGGAATTCAAGTCCCTGTGTAAAATGAGTGTGTATGCCCAGTTCACAGAGCTTCATGGAACTACAAAGTTCTCTGCAGTGCTAATTCCATGAAGCTACATGTAAATACTAAGGCACAAGTCCTCCTTCACTGCCAAGACATCTCCATCATAACCACCACTTGTTTTAATCCAGTATGACTAGGGATCCTATGTCACCTGTGGAGGTGTCCAGATCTCCTATTTTTTCAATGGGGAGTGTATTGTATCTCTGAAGAGACACCATACTTTGCCCAACAGAATCACAGGGCTCTCCCATTCTTTAATTGGGCACCATTTAGGAACCTACAGAGATGGATTCTGGTTTTCCAAGGAGGCACATACCTCTCCATTCTCTCAATGTGGAGTTTTAACTCATGTTACAACAACTGTATCTGGTTGCAGTTCTAGTTGATGCATGTGTCAAGTATCTCTGTCATTTGCAGGCCTGTAGGACACCGCCTGCTGGCCGACTTGAGTGAGACAGTTTCTAATTGGAGTTCTACACACCCATGCTTTCACCTACTGTGACTTGGTGTTTAAAGGAGTTGGTTCAGTACCTGGATGTGTAGTTCCATTAGTCCTATGTTCCTGACGGCTCCGCCACCCCTACACCCTCGCCTGTTCCACTGGTCTCCGATTGGCTGCTTGGTCCTTCCACATGACCTCCATCCCAAGAAGAAAAAAAACAAAAAGAACAAAACCAAGCACTCCTGGCCTGGGTTATTGTTCCAGCTCCTTTTAGCAGAGCGCAAACAGTAATTCACAGTTGTGAGGTCAGTCCCTATTTTCTTCCACTACCATCTCTTTGGTGGCTCTCCCCGAGCCTCTTATTGGGGTCATCATGATTTCCCTTATCCTATTAGGTCCACCTGTGACACCGTTTTTGGCTTGCACCCCTTTTAGGGACTTCACGGTACCAAAATTCTAGAATGCCCCTCTATTAGGGACTTTACGATGCTAAACTCTGCCAGGGTCCAGGGGCTCAGGCATGGTAACAAGCAGTTCCAAGTACTGCCTGTGGGCTCAACAGTCCTCGCTTTAAGTTCCCTCTGGGGAGCTCACTCTCTGCAGGAGTCTCCTACCGGCTCTCCACGTTGCTCTCAAGGTTCCCTGCAGCATGGCTCGGCTGGATCCGCCTCCTTCCGGTTCCACGCTCCCCCCCCTCTTGTCTGTTCTGGGCTCTTCTTTATACCAGGGTTGGAGTTCCCAGCCCATCCCCTCCAGAAACACCTGGGTAAGGAGGGTTTCTGCCGGGCTCTTTGGGGCTGTGGATCTGGGGCCACTGACCCCTTGTTTAGCCCTTGTGCTTTTGAGTCCTGTGACTCTCTCTCACAGCATGTGGCATAAGGCATCTTAGCAGGCCTTGGGACTGAATGAGAAGATATTTACTTGAATAAGTACATCTAACAGACAGCAGCACTGTCTTCACTGACTTCAACATAAAGTAAGTTCCCTTCTTCCTTAGTTGAGCAATTAGAGCACTTGCCTGGAAAATGGGAGACCCAAATTCTACGCTTTTGGATCAGCTTCAGGTGGCTTCATCCTATATCTCTTATGTGCCATAAAAGTATTCTAACTACTAAGCTATGGGCTAAGCATGGCTAAGAACATGTTCCTCACCTCCTATTGAAGCTGCCCCCTGTGCAGCCAAAAGGAAAAATTCATGAGATTAGCAGAAGAGCAAGCAAGAATAACTCTAGCCTAGGGAGGTGGCCACCATTTTCTGGCCCCTACTCCTGTGCTGTTTATGTATTTTACTCAATTACTTATTGATGTGAGTCTGTATGTAATAACATTACTCTGGAATATGTTTCGTAACAAAGCAGGATCTGACCCAAGGGAGTTGTATCAATGCAAAGGAAAGGAGGCTGTGGCCTGCAGTGCAAATAAGCATCCAAAAACAAGTGGACTGACATTCCTTAGTACAGGTCCTCTCCATACTTCTATGTAAGGTAGCTGAACAGTGAAAGGTATCACAGAAGTGTGGTTTCAGGAAGCATTTTACAATGGAGGGAATAGGCAGAGAACCCATAAGATTGGGTGGGCTAGTGATAGAATGCTAGACAGTCCTGAATATCATAGGTATGCAGACTTCATTTTTATGAAAAGAAAGTCAAAAACTTTAAGGATTCCTACTAACAATATGTCAGGCTTTCACAAACTACAAGGACATCCTGAAAAGCTTGGAACACCTTCAGCAGCACTACCTCTGAAATAACCTTAGCATAAAGTGGGAAGATCATCGCACAAATGCCAGTTATCCTTTCCAATGCTAACACCACCAGCATGAAAGCATTGATTATTCAACATCAGCTGCAATGGACAGGGCACCGTGTTTGCATGCCTGATGTATGTTTACCAAAACAACTGCTATATTCCCAACTCAGCCAAGGACAAAGGATACAAGGGAGCCAGAGGAAATGCTTCAAGGACAACCTCAAGGCAAACATTAAGTATAGTATTGACATCATAAATTGGGACAAACTAACCTGGGACAGGGCTACATGGTGACACTGTGAGAGAAGGTACATCTTACTTTGAGGAAAACTGTCTTCCCCTGGAGGCAGAAAAACAAAAGAAATGGAAGGATAGGAAGCAATACTGAGAAATCCACCGTTCAATTCTCCCTCCCTTTAACCACTACCTGTGGCATCTGCCAGAGAGTCTGCAGCTCTACGATCAGCCATCTTACCTTCTTAACTGTCAACAGACTCATCTACAATCCTTTACTTGACCCATGGGAGTGACCATCCTTGACCATGAGGGATCACTGCTGCTGCAGACACCAGACTTTATTCTCCTCTCCCGGAACACAGGCACATACTTTTCACTATTGAGGATTCTTGGTAATGGCTTTCTATTGGGATTTCCTACATGAAGTACTGTAGTGAGGACTCCCATTAGAAGCCTTTCCAAGTACTGAAACACTCTTCCATCCTCCATAGGAGGAAGCTGCAATCAGATGAAGGACCCTGTGAAGAAGTATGTTCTCTGCCCCCCAAAGCTGTTTATGCATTTTAATCCATGACTATGCAATGCAAGATGCAAAAAGAGCACTGAGAGTATTGGGGCTCCCTCCATCCCACAGCAGTGAGCCTGATATATAATCTATGTGGGCAGCAAGGAAAGAATGGATTTGAAAGATGTTCAAAAATAAAGTTGCAAAGTTTAGAAATAACTTAATAGTAAATGGAGCACTCATAGGACAAGGTGCTATTCATTTTCAGAATCTTTAGCCTTTATTAACTTAGAGCAGTGGTACTCAGTCTTTTGGCCCTGTGAGCTAGATGAATGGCACAGGGTTGGTTCACAATCTGGATTGGGCCCGATGCTGCTCCCACCCAGTCTGACATGCCATGATCAGGCTCTGAGGCCCTGCATTGCCCCTGCCCAGCCCTGCATGGTAGGATTGGGCCCTGTGCCACCCTGCATGCCCTTTCTAGTGTATGCATGGCCACACTATCCAGCCTGCAGGGCTCCCCACTTGTCTGGAAATTTGGCAGCAGGGGAGTGGTGCTACTGCTCCCCCACTGCCAAATTTCCAGACCTGTGGAGAGCTCTACAGACCCAATACCATGAATCCAGTGACTGAGCACCCCTGACCTAGTGTACTTGGTGCACACACAAAGCCAAGTTTTGCCTTCTCTGCATGTTCTTATTTTGTAAATATTTGCGTCTCCAGTTAGACAGCTGAACAGGATGCAGTTTACAGTATTGTAACATTTTTGCAAAATATCTGATCACTCTGAAGGAAAAATGTGCAGGAAGTTTTGAGGAAAGCAAATGACTGCAAGAGTGGACAGGTGTTTACACATACATCCACTTATAGCATATGCATGTGTTACCTGTTTCATGGTTTAAATAAAAGGGATCATAATTAACCTTCTAGCAGAGTGGGACACAGAACAGGATAGTGGCATTTGCCAGGAACAGATCCGAAAGTCATTTTAGGGTATTGAGGGCTTCACCACAGTGCTGTACAATCCTGTTTTTCTACACTAAGAAAAATGCAGAGGAAACAGAACTGCTGCAGTATCATTTCAAATCTAAATGGGAGCTTGTTAGCTAATGAGCTTAATTTTGGAATCAATTGCTGTCATTTCTTAACAGTTTGCCTCCTTCTCTAATCTCCCATGAAAATTAATTAAATATGATATGGTACACACTTACTGGGAGACGTGCTTCTAGAACCTTCCATGAGAAGAAAGATCTTCTTAATATACCATCTAGGCAAGAGTCATGGTGAGGCTTCAGAGCACACGTTGTTTCTAAGTCCTAAACCCTAAGACTGTTCAAGTGGTTTTTTCTCTTACTTTTCACATAACCTGTTGTTGTCAGCTACCAACTGCTGTAGTAGTAAACACAGCTACAAATAAGAAAAGCAGCTGATGAAATTTTGACTTGGAAAGGATTTCTATTAAATCCTGTTAAATTCTGCTCCATCTTATGATATCTGAAAACCCAGGCTGTAGAGCTTCGCTGCAACTCATCCTGTATATCAGTGGTTGTGAAACCGGGGTAAACATACCCCCAGGGGTACTTTAAAAAGTCATAAGGGACACCAGGGGGCTCCTGCTGCTGTGCGCGCACCGGCAAAGGCCTGGGGGGCACATGCCCCCCGATCTGTGTGCAGGGTGGAGGCAGCTGCCGCTGCATGGTGGGCTTTGCGCACCGCTGCAGCTGCCCTGGGAGCCGTTTTGAGGTGTTTCGAGCTTAAAACAGCAAAATCTAAACAAAACAAAAGGGCTTTGAAACAGCTTCGAAACAAAACAAGGGCACTCAAAACCTTTCAAAAGTTTCAAAACCTTTTGAGTTTCAAAGCCAGGCTTGCTTGCAGCTCAACAGAAACTAAGGAGAGAAAGGGAGAAAAGGTGGGGAAGGACTGCTCTCATATTGACTGTGTAGCTGGCCAGTGACTGTGATCCTTCCCTGAAGTCCCTTCTAATCCCAGTGCTTTGGGAAAGGGACAGAAAAACAGCATAAAATTAAAAAGCATTGTTTGAACTGAGATTTCTCTGTGCCTTCACACTTGCAAGTGACACAAGTTTTGCTCTGAACAGTCTGAGGTGCAGTTTCCCAGAAACTCCTGAGCCTTAACACACACACCTGACAAGTTTTGCTTGTCAGCACCTTGAGGTGCAGTTTCCCAGAAACCCCTGCACCCATCTCCTTGAAACTTGACAGGCTTTGTAGCCGCAGCAGGGGATACCATCCCTGCTGTTTTCATTTGAATCAGGACAGAAATGACAAAGTTTTTCATGATTCCCCATTATACCCTATGGGTGAAACGTCAAAATGTGTCGAAATAATGAAATAGTTTTGACGAAACAAAATGGAACAGTGCTTCAAAACGGCAAAATGGAAATCCAGACAAAATGGTGGTGTTTGACACAGCCCGTTGCTTACAGCATTACCTGAACTAACCAAAACAGGTTCAGTGATTGTGCGAGAGACAAGACTCTGTATGTACCACTCCTAGAATTAGAACTGGTTACCAACCAACCAAAATAAATAAATGCAGTTTTAATATAAAATAAGCAGTACAGAAAACTGAAAGGCACTGTAAAAGGAACGGACCATGGACCAGCATTTGAAGAGAGAATCAAATATATTTTTATTCTAAAAGATTAACTTGTTTCATTCGTTTGGCACCTAAAACCAGTTTTCAGTAAGATATATTTTGGAGGAAGCCAGTCTAGCAATTCATATTTCATCTTATCTGATTGTTTGCTCAAATTTCCCAGAAATATTCATTTTAGTTACAAAAAACATTTTTCTACATAATATTTTTTTTTTTTTTTAGCATTTGCGTTACCTTCTTTACTGGTCAAAGAGCCTTAAGGAAGATACCAGTTGCCTAATAAATTCAACATATGGTCAGTGTCTTCATATATATAAAAATTAATCTATCCTTCCCAATTAATCCACATAATGTGATCTTTTCTAATGTGCTAGAAATTTTGGAAAGACAGTGTTATAGATAACAGGGGTGTAGCTGTGATGGTCCAAGACATATATAAGGCAAGGATTTTTTTGGCAATATCTTTTATGGGACCAGCTTGTCTATATTTCTTGCCCTATGAAGCCACGTAATTATGCCTGTTCACGTAAAGACACCAGAGACATAGTTCTGCATGTTTGGATATATCTGCATTTTAACATAGGATCATTAAAAATATTAAACCTTCTCGTTTTCTTCTCTATATAGTTTTGGATTTAATTAAATGACATATGCTTCCACATAACTTTTTGTGCAACATTTGTTACAGGTGGTTTGCACAGTAGATTTTAGAGATTATAAAACTCACTCTTTGAAAAACTATAATTGAAATATTTTTTCATTATTGCTGCATTGCTCCATGAAAAATAGCATTTTTCAGATAGCCAGATAAGATTTTAAAAAACAGTTGTAATCCATGAAACTCTAAGGCATTTGTTACTAAGAAAATAAAATAATTATGAATCCCTGCTTAGAAGGTTATTATGTATATAGTCCATTTTTTCTGAAGGGCAACACACCAGTCCAGCAAATCATTTAACCACTTGTGTCTAACTTTAAAACATGTGAAGCATTGTAGTTAGGCACATGCTTAAATACCTTGCTGGACAGTGGCATAATATACCAAGCTTAATTTCACAATGTTGTGCACTAGTCTATGACAAGGGAGACTAACAAATGATTTTCTTTAGTTAATTATATTGAAATCCAGAAGTACATTTGTGTCCATTTCCTGGGTAAGCATGTAATCAGTAAGCTATTGTATCAAAAGAGTCCTCTGCCACCTTCTTCTGACAGACATCTTTTAATAAACAAAGCAGCAACCACCACTACATTTTGTATTTAGCTTAATCTGGTAGGTATACTCTGAAAACACCTACCAGAGAGGAACACCTAGGCTGTGGATCCCCATTGTCTGAGACACAATTAGGAACCAAGTTGCTTAGGTCTGTCAGGACGAAGTCTCCCATGCAGGCATAGTCATCCCTCCTGCTCAGTTTCTCACTCAGAAATGGGGTTACAACCTTCTTACCTCAAGGAGTGGAACAAGGACAAGAACCAAATCTTTTGCTGTGGAAGACTATATAAAAAATCCTAGGTTAGTAAACAACAGGTACCAATGTATTGACATTTACTGAACTAGTAGTGCTGCTCTGTCATTCATGTCAGTTCAGTTCCTGTCAAACTGAAATATACAGTCATGTTATGCATGTAGTTAATTACTGTCCATATTTATGGCCCTCAGAAAAAGAAAAAAGGAATGAAGGGTGGAAGGAAGAAAAAATCTAAGAAAGAGAAAGATCTAACTCCTGACAGGTAAATATCGGACCAGACTACCCAAGATTCACAAGGTGACAAATTATGTATCCTTCATATTTGCCATGCTGTCATCCCTTTTAGATCTGTTTAATTATAGTAGAACAGTGGACTGCTGTTAAACTTACAATTCAAACTAGCAGTGTTAGCAGCCTAGCAGTCATGAAGGACCCTACAATGAATAAAACCTCTTTAATAACAGCTATGAAACATACATGCAAACCTAGATAAAACAATACATCACAAATTTGCAAATAACCTCCTTTAATGTTTTCAACATTTCAAAGTAAAAAGGCTTTACTGCATCCTCAAAAAATACCACTTCCCTTCTTGACTAACAGAACGATCTTGCATCACACATAAGATAACAAAATGTTCCTTTGATAATGTATAGTCCTGTTGTACTGTTTTCAATGATGCATACAAACCAATGCATCAATAACCAGACTTCACTGACTTCAAATTATACCAATTAAATCTGTAAATCTATGCATATGCAAAGGATTTCCAGCATCTTCACCCAATTCTTTAAGAAATTACTGATCACTACTTTGTGCAGCAGGTGCAGCAACACCCATCAGTCTCAGGTGTCCGTCAGATTTTACATCTAATTTAAAGTCCCTGAGATAAGAGCTCATGAAATACCACATTTTCTCATGCAAAATGTGCATGTTATATAAATCAATCTCACTTATCTAAAAAATCTATATAAATTCTTGAAGGCATCTTATAATGTTAAATATTCCTGGTCAGAGAACAAAGGTTGTTTTTTTTACTTGAAGGATATGAACAAATTTCTCATTTTGACACCTGCATTTTTGATGTTCATTTGATACATTTACAACAATCTGCCCATTTTCAACTGTACATTACAAAACAGAAGCCAATGCTGACATACCAACTAACACCAGCTAATATAGTGACAAGTTAGGATGGGGATAAGGGGAACTCATAGGGCAGCAGAAACCAAGAACATTGTAGAGATGGTCATGCTTAGCCCCTGGTAGGCAGAAGTACCTTATATTGAATCCAGTCCATTTGTGTAGAGTCTAATATAATGAGACCTCTTGCATTCCAAGTAATACAATCAATCATGCTATCATGTTTGGTTTAAAATGTTAAACCTCTCAAGCCAAACTAAAAATTGTACAGATGCATATAGAAAATGACTTCTCATAACATAGTTTCTCCAAGTAACTAATACATGCATACTTCTTTTCTCTTTAAATTAGAAGAGACTTACTTGATTACAAACACTTAAAGTATATACATTCTATAATATTATAAAGATCACATCTGGTTTTAGTAGCTAAATAGTGAGGATGATTTCTTTGGCCTACGAGAGCCATGCTTTGTTCCTTCCTGCTGTGCAGAGCAGGAGACAGAATTTCAGAAATAGCCAGCAGAGGCTTATGTTCACCTTTGTGCATTTTTACTGGTAGAGAAACACAGGGGCCTCAGTCAACAGAAGGGCGCAAACACACTTTTATTTAAAGGATTATTTGAATGTTCATGTATCATTAAATTTGAACAGTTAAAATAATAAGACAGGAAATGCAGAAGTTATGATTCCTACAGCAACATTAACACCACATTCTACCTTCTGTACATTTTATGATATATGCTTACCATAAAAAGCATCAAGTTATATTCTCAGCAATGAAAATGTGAATCAAAGTGCCAGAATTAATGTTGCTGTAAGTACACTAAGTTTTATATTCCAGAATGCTCATATATTAAGCTACACAGCTTTAACATACACAGACTAATTTTTTCAAGTGAAATAGCAAAAATCTATTGAAAATAAAACGGATACCTGCCCAAATTAAGATCAGTGACAATTAAAGGCACAAAACGATTTTCTTAGGAGACTGAAAACTGGAATCATTTAACTTTCATACATGATATAAGTGATGTATATAAAAAATCCCATAAGATTTAGAGGTCAATAGAAGCATTCCTATTAACCCTTCCAATACCAAAAGAATGTTAATAAATCTTAGAGTAATAAATGCACATTGAATACATTGTTATTTCCTTGACACAATATGAATTGATCTGTATATCTCATTGCCACAAAATATTACTGAAGCAAACTTATTAGGCACAACACCAAAAAAGTTTCTCCTCCTTCATTCCTATGGCTAATGACATTAGAAAAGAGAAAATATTAGATACTCTTAAGTAGGATCAAAATTAATCATGTATATCCTCATTCATTAAGACACAAGACAACCATTAATAGAAGATGGCAGAATAGGGAGGGGACTTCCCCTATGGGGGCTTATTCTTTATTTTCAACCACCTGTTTTCCCACTCTCTTACCTTCCTCTCCAGCATCTGGCTCTGGTCACCTTCACACAGGGTACTGGACTAGAGTGACAACTGGTGTATTTACTCAAAAGATTAATCCTATCTTTTTGACTAATAGCTGGTTTATTGAAAATTAAGTTAATTTTGGGAAGAATTAATGAATTGCTACTAATTGCAGATGCCAAGTGAACAAGTATAGTTGTGTTAGGATTGCTGTTGTAATATCATTTAAAAATAATTTCTCAGTAATTGATATTAATGAATGAGTCTGCTACAAGAAGTCATAACTGATATAGTACTATCTGAAAATGGGTAATGTCATGAGTATTAAGAAATCATTTGGCATATAAGGAAATAAAACAATAACTTGAGAAAATACTGAGAAAGTACTTGAGAAAAGACAGTTATTGATGAAATTTTGTCTAAACTAATCTTTTTGTTCTCCCAATAAAAAGCTACATTTTTATTAAATTAAGGACATGTGATTCAATACAGTTTTATTAGTGAAGTACTGGGCTTTTGTTCACAGATCCCTAGAATTTTCTTAAATTTTGTATATTGTGTATAGAACCATCGATTCTCTCTACAAAGAGCTGGTAGAAGGAGGATTATTAATAAAGCCGAAGACTGTGAAACTCTCCGATTATGTTGGTAAAGTACATATTTTTAATGTTTTGCATCAGACCTAATGTATATTTGATAGATAATAATAATCCACAGTGCATCCCCAATCGGAACAAATTTTAAATGGACAAGTCTGACTGAAAAACTGACCAAAAAAACTAATGAACATGAACTCACTTTTCTGAAATTTGACATGCGAGTTCATTTTTCTGCTTCTTCCCACCTCCCACCCCCACCCTTTCCTTAAACGGTGTGTGTTTTTACTGTCATGCCTGAGTTAGCCTGGCACCAGAAAGAGAGATATCAAAGTACTGCAAGAAAGCTGTTTGCATGTCTACAGTCAAGACATAACAGTGCTGAAAAAGTCTTTTGCACAGGATGTCCAGGTCACATGTCTGATGAGTCTTTGCAACATCCAGATGTGTAATCTAATTTGCAAACTTTTTCAGGTTCACTAATTACTAATACCAGTAAAGTCAAAATGAAATGAAGCACAGTTGCAATTTCAATAGGATTCTAGGCCACCATTTTCAAACTTAAATAAAATTAGGCACCCAAATTAACAAAGGCCAGATTTTAAAAGGTACCTGGTACCCTAACTTCTACTAGTAAACTAAGTGCCTAAATACAGAAATAGGTGCTTAACTTTATGGACTCAAATTTGAAAAGCTTGAATTTTAGGAAATCACAAGAAGCTCTCAGGAGATGTGAGCCATCAGTTAATGTCTGCAAGACCCTGGAGCCTTTCTGCACAGCAGCCCTGTGTTTTATATTGCACCCAAAACACCTTCCACAAAATAAAATTGAAAAAATATTATGTGTATAATCTAATACTCCATAGGTGAAATTCACCCCTGTGCAAAGGAGCAACACAAATGCCGTGTAAACCATCAAAATAGGGCTTAAAAGAGGCACAGTCCTTGTATTTCCCAATTGACCTTGGGATGAATTTCAGTTTTCTAGATCTGTTCCTTTTAGCATTTACCAAGGAAAGATCCGAGTGCACTCAGGTTAGCACTTGCAAAAAGAAAATGCAATTCTGCATGGGGTACCAATGCCTGATGCATTCTCCAGGAAAGTTGTGACTTTTTTTTTTTAAACTGGAATCCACTGTAGCATCCCGCCAAAAAAAATCCCTAGTTTTAAAGAGACTTTTTTTTTAAAGGATATGGGGGGTTGTGCTGCTCTGCTGCTGTCTTCTCCTGGTCTCCCTATGCCTCCATTACTCACCTGCTACAACTCTGATGGTACTGGATATTGAGAAGTGAAAGGAAGTCCTAGGACTGATAGAAGCTCCACAGGCAGCTTAGTCAGCTCCACTGGACCCACTGCCCTACTCAGGTCCTTTCACCCCTGAGCACCTAACACAGGGTTCCTCCTTTCATAGGGTTGCCCTTGTGGGTTTCTGAGGGCTTGCCAAGGCTTCAGATGTTAAAGCCTAGGCCCCTTTTCCTCTATGGCCATGCCTGCCTTGGTCCACTGGTAAAGATTTCAGCTTCTGGGCTTTAGGCCCAGCCTCAACAGCTGTCTCGCAACTTTGGAAAGTTCCATCTCTGTGTGCTTTAGAGTCTGCTCCTCAGCTTGCGGCTGTCTTTTAACCCCATGACAAAACAAAAGCGGGGGGGGGGGGGGGG